CCCCCCCCCCCCCCCCCCCCCCCCGCCCGTCTGCCTGCTGGCCGCCGCCTTTTGTCCTCAGAAGACTCGGTCCCCGCGGGGCCTCTGCCAAGCCTCTAGCAGATGCTCAGGGTCTTGGGCTCCTCCCCGGGAGCACAGGGGCCATGGCCTGAGAGAGCCCCAGGTTGGGGGGCTCTCATCCAGGCTCACCCCTCTCCCCGGGCCTGGCGGGGATGGGGAAGAGGTGCAGGTCCACAACCAGAGGCAGCAGCAGAGGTGGTGTTGGGGAGGGGATGGACGCCAGAAAGAGGGGGTGGGGTGGAGAGAGAGAGGCTGGCCTGATAGCTGTGTCCCAGGTTTTAGATCCGGGTTGAGAAGGGTGGCTCAGAGTATCCGAGGGGGGTCCTAATGTAAAAAGAGGGCACTACAGGCCTGCCGGAAGGAACTTCCTGGCTTGGGAGTCACCCCAGCTAACACAAATCTAGTTCCTAAAATGCTGGGGATACCCAGCCTAGATAGGGTAACAGTGGGGAGTCCAAAGCCCTAAGCTAGACCCCATCAGGCTTGTCTGTCCCCCCTCTCCTCGATTTGTACGGTCCCTGCCTCAGGGGCGGGTGGAGGAGGGAGGGAGAGAGAGGGAAGGAGGGAGGCTGAGCAGGCAGGGAGACTCCCAACCACCAGCCTGGTCCTCCCTAGGGCGGGGCGGGGAGGGGGGGCTGGTGAGGCCGGGGAACAGCAGGCTGGCTGGCTGGCTGGCTGGCTGGGTGGGGATGCTGGCGTGGCGGTTGTGCTGCCAGGACAATAGCTGGCTGAGGAAGTCAGGCTCAGGCCTTTCTGAGATGCATGCATGGAGGCAGGTAGAGGTGGCGAAGGAGCTGCTGAGAGAGCCACTCACATGGGTTACAGGTGCAAAGGAGGCAGGGAATAGGAGCGTCTGGGGTCTGGACAAAGGTCCGGTGGAAGTTTTTCAAAATCTGGGTTGGGAGGTATGCTTAGGTCTCTTGAGAGGTAGGATAAATAATTTATTTAGAGTGGGGTTCTATGGGCAGGTCCAGGAGATGGGTGGTGGGGGAGGGGGAGTTCGGGGAGAAGCACGTGTGCCCAGCTCTGATTAATCCCTGATACCTCTTGTGCTACCCCTGTTTTCCTTAGGCAAGTAGACAGGCATGAACCCATACTGAGGCCATGTTCTGGGAAGGCATAATGGGACAGGTGAAGAGAAAGCCTGGTGGGCAGACCAGAAAAGGAAGGGAAGACAAGGAAAAACTATTTCTGATCCAAATGGGATTAAACTGGGACCAAATGATGCTGCTTGAATTTAGCATTCCAGAATTCTAATTATCTTTGTATAAAAAATTTATTTCCTTTCTTCCTTCATATATTGGCTCATTCGGTTCTTAAACACAGTTTTACATGGGTGCAGTGCTGGGCCCTGATGATACGGGTGAAATGAACTTGCTCCCTGCCCTTAGAAAACCCAGTCTCTGCCACCAAACTGTGTGCCAGGAAGGCAAACACCTGCATCTCAATCTGCTAGAGGATTTATGAAATGTGAATCCTCAGGCCCTCTTTATAGAAATACTAATCTGGTAGGTTTGAAATGGGACTTGAAATCTTATATTTTGACAAGCCATTCAGATGGTTAATTTTTTATGCCCACTGAAGTTTGGCACCATGATTTGGAGAGGGAGAAAACCCCTGGATAAAAGAAAACTCCCTAATGGAAATTAGAAAATATTTTGGATTAACCAATAATGAAAATAATATATTTGAAGGCTTCTCACTCTCAAGATAGCCCATTTTTTTCCCCTGAATGTGTCTCTGCTTTCTTAAATAAACACTTGTCTGTCTCTGAAAAAAAATATCTGAAATTCTGAGGGATGCTACTAGGTCTGTGTTTTGGGAGAAACTTATAGCTTTAAATTTATATATTATTTTAAAAGAATGGTTGGAAATACATCTCAAGAAATTAGAAAAATTAGCAAATTTTATTTGGAGGGCGATAATAGAGATAAGACAGAGGTCAATGAATACAAACTAGAACAATAACAGAAAGGATCAATAAAACTAAAAGTTGGTTCTAAAAATCTAGAAAATGATAAATCCTGAGACTTATTTAGAAAAGAAATACAGAAGGCACATTAAAAAAAGTATCAGGAACAAATGGGGGCACTACAGTACAGGTCACAGAGACATTACAATTTAATAAGATGGTATTAGAAAGAACTTTATACTGGCAAATTTGAAAATTTCAATACAATTTTAAAATTCCTGGAAAAATGCAGTTCACTATAACTCACAAAAAAATAGACTCTGAGCAATCCAATAATTATTAAATAAGTTGAATTTATAATTAAAAAGCTTTCTACAAAAAATCCTCCAGGCCCAAATACCATAAATAGTAAATTCTACAAAGCATTTAAAGAAAAAAAAAGACCACTAATTTTCTAATTTTACACAAATCTCTCCAGGGATTGGAGAAAAATCATGTGATTGTTTGAACAGATGCAAAAAAAAAAAAAAAAAGCAAAGAAACCCATCATGACAAAAAAAAAAAATAACAAACATAAGTTTGCTAAGAACATAAGGGAAATTACTTTTAAAGCTGTAGTAAATATCATACCTAACAGGAAAATGTTGAATGTTTTCTAAGTTGGGAATAAAACAAGGATGCCCACTATAGTCTTTTCGTTCAAATTGTGCTGGAGGTCCTGCTCAGTGCATTAAAGCAAGACAAATAAAAAGATACAGGATTAGAAAGGAAAGATAAATATACAAATACTTATAGATGATGTGATTTTTGTGTATAGAAAATACAAAAAGTTACATAAAAATTTACTTATAATAAGTAAATTTGTCAGAGTTGTGAGACATGGATCAATATAAAAAGTTAGTTCTTTAGGACTGGGAGTATAGGTCTGTGGTAGAGTACTTGTCTAGCATGCACAGGGCCCTGGGTTTGATCCCCAGCACCACAAAGAAAAGAAACCAGTATTTTCTGTATACCAGTAATAAAGAGAAAAATTGAGAAAAGAAGACATCATTTATATCAGCATCAAAAACTACCAAATATCTAGTAATAAAACTAATGAAAAATGTGCAAGACCTATATACAGCAAATTATAAAACATCATTGAAAAATTAAAGACAACTTAAATAAATGGAGCAATATGCTATGTTCAAGAATTGTAATGATATACAAGCTTCCAAAAGTAATAGAGTTGTTGAAATTCTAATGAAAATCCCAACATATTTGTGTGTATGTGCATGTGTAATTTGATAAGCCAATTGTAATTTTTCTTTAGTATTGCAAAAGGCAAAGAATATGAAAACAAGAGAAGGTTTCCTCTACCAGCTACTAAGACTTATGAAGCTACCAATAGGGCAGTTTTGCTGCAAGGATAAATAAATAGACCAATGGAAGACAATAGAGTTCAGTAAGTGAACTAAGCATATATATAGTCACTTGATTTATGATGAAGTTGGCTCTTTAGAATCGGCAAGGTCAGTCTTCTCAATAAGTGTTTTCAGATTAGTTGGATAGTCACATAAAATGTATCTTTTTAAAAATATTTATTTTTAGTTGTAGTTGGACATAGTACCTTTATTTATTTATTTTTATGTGGTGCTGAGGATTGAACCCAGGGCTGCACACATGCTAGGCGAACACTCTACCGCTGAGCCACAATCCCAGCCCATAAAATGTATCTTGATCCCTGCCTCACACAAACATCCCCAAATCAATTTGCTAAATATTGAGAAAAATATAAAAGGCAAGACAATAAAGCTTTTAAGAATATGACATAGGATAATATCTATATAAAATGGGGTGAGAAAAGACTCAAGACAGGAAGGAGTTACCTACCATAAAAGAAAGGATCAACACATTAAATTACATTAAAATTTAAGACTTTTGTCCCTCAAAATGTAGCATTAAGAGAATAAAAAGGTAAGTTACAGAATGGGAGAAAATATTTGCACATATATCCAATAAAAGATGCGTATCTGGAATAACTGAAGAACTCTTACCAATCAATAAGAAAAGACTGATAACCCAATAGAATAACAGTCAAAACACTTGAACAGAGACCTTACAAAATAGAATATACAACTTAAGAAAATGTGCTCAACCTCACTGGTAGTCTAAAATTGGAGTTGGTGGTATAGTTCAGTGGTAGAGCACTTGCTTGACACGTGTGAAGCCCTGGTTTCATCCCTAGCACTACACAAAACAAAATGAACAAATCCTCCCCACACCCACTAGAATTGCCATAAATAAAAAGACAATATAAAATATTGGTGAGAATATAGAATGAATAAAATTCTCACACAGTGCTGATGAAAATATAAATTGATATCACCACTTTCAAAACTGTTTACCAGTATTTACTAAAGGGGACCATATGCACAGTTCATAACCTAACAATTCTACTTTTAGCTATGGGCCTGTCAGAAATGCTTGTACAGTCATGTGCTGTCAACAACTGACTACATATACAATTGCCCAGTGACATCATAGCCATCTTGGTTTATCCAATGACAGAATTGCCTAATGCATCTCTTAGAACTTTATAAAACATTTTCTTATGTTTTCTTTTTTTGTTTTGTTTTGTTTTTGTGTTTTTGGTTTTGGTACTGGGGATTGAACCTAGGGGTATATAATCACTGAGCTACATCCCCAGCCCTTTTTATTTTTTATTTTGAGACAGGGTCTCACTAAGTTGCTTAGGGCCTTGCTAAGTTGCTGAGGCTGGCCTTGAACTTGTGGTCCTCCTGCCTTAGACTCCTGAGTGTC